ACTGTGAGCATCTTCTTGCAGCTCGTGGCATGCTGGGGCTGGAAGCCTCATAGGGAGGATGAGCTGCCCACTGGTTCCTGGTAGTGTCTATTAAGCACTGGACTCGTGCCTGTGAAGCACTAAATCATACAATATGGAGAAGACACTGCTTATAAAACCACCAGTTGAATACTCATATGATTAGAGAGGTAATGTGCATAAAAGAGGTGGGTAGACAGTCAGATTGAATGTATCTTTCTTAGTAAAATCAGTGGACTTAGTGAACAATCCAATGTGTAGGAAAACATTGACTGTTCTGATAAATGACATGGGCCAGTGGTTAGTACTCTTCAAATAGTCTATTATTCAAATAGTCTCTCTCTCTCTCTCTCTCTCTCACACACCCCTCATTAAGATGAAGCCCAGTACCCCCATGTGTCATTGAGAACTTTCCTCACTTTCCAAAGGCATCACACTGGGCCTGATGATGTTTGACAGTTAGATGGTATTCTTTCCTCTCCATGTCCCTGCTGCCTCTCTTCCAATGGCACCTTTCTACTGTTGTCATTGCTCCTTGCTTCTGACCTTAACTCTTTCATGTGACAATCCAGTCACTTACTAATGGTTTTTCTGTCAACTGATTTGGCACTAGAGCTAATGCTAGCAGGACAACAAAGCTGAAACATCAATATAGTAAGTATATATGTGAGGAGTGATAAGGTGGGGTGTCCCCACTTTGTTATGCAATGTGTGTTAGGTGATGTCCACAGGTCATTAGGTGGTTCCAAGCAATGCAGAGCTTCTAATAGGTACATGGTTTTGCTAATTTGGAGACAAATTGTTTATCGTTTACAAATGCTCAAATGATAACGAGTATGCTGTTCCTGCTGTTGTTATTGCTGTGCTAATCCAACCCAGGAGGGCTGAGAATAGCAGTCAGCCCCCTGAATCCGTGGGTTCCACATCCTTGAATTGAACCACCTGCAGATTGAAAATATTCAGAAAAAAGAAATTTTTGTCTGTATTGAGCATGTAGAGACTTTTTTCTTGTCATTTTTCTGCAAATAACTCTTTATATAGTACTTACCTTGTATTAGGTATTGTAAGTAATCCAGAGGCAATTCAAAGTGTTCAGCAGGATGTATGTAGGTTATATACAAAGATTCTGCTATTTTATATTGGAACTTGAGCTCCACAGATTTCAGTATCCATGGGGGAACCTAGAACCTATCACCTGAAGACAAGGGCCAACTGCAACAGTAGTGTTCTTTTCTAGTCAGGTATTTGGCATGAATTCAGGAGTGAGAGTAAGAGGCAAGACTGTCACAGGAGGTCTCCAGGAAACTGGAGACATCTGAGTGTCATCCTGAAAGCCTTCTTGAGATTTGCAGGAGAACAGGGAGGATGTGCCCAGAACTCTGCGAAAGATATCTGAAGGATGTTTTATTTTCTTACTCTGGGCATCTAGGAAGAGGATGGAAATAGCTAGAGTAGAAGTCAGGTCTCTCAGCAGCGTCATCCCTGAACTCTATAAATGGGGGACCATGACACCTCTGGTTGAGGCTCTGCTCAATGCTCCACACTACAGTAGTTCAATAGTAATGAATAAAACTCACTAGAGGCATCCATCCACTGTGGACAACTCCAGTGGCGCCTTCTGTCAGCCTCTAAAAGTCTTTTGAAGTGTTAACCTCAAAGTATGTTTTCTCCAGCAGGGTTCCCCTCCAGAAGCACTTGGTCTAGGCTTGCTCACTAAGTCTTAGCAGAGCTTTTGCTTGGTGATTGAGAATCATGTGAAAGTTTGTTTTGCTAGGAGGAAATACCTTGGGAAGGAAGGAAGGAAAGAAGGAAGAAAGGAAGGAAAGGAGGGAGGGAGGAAGTGAGGGAGGGAGGGAGAGAGGGAGGGAGGGAGGGAGGGAGGGAGGGAGAGCGAGCGGGCGAGCTCCAGAGGGGGCAAGACGGAACCTTTCCTCTGGCCTTTCACTTCCTTCACCTCTTCTTTTGCATTCACCACGGTCACTCATTCCCCAATGCCTCATTTTCCTCTGGATTTTTTTTTTCTGTTTTTATACTTATTTAATTCATTTATTCAGTTTCAACATGTCAGTAAATTTGAACTCTTTCCTGATTGTATTCTTCTTCTTCCCAAATTATTCTGATTGCATTAAAGCTGATTCATTGTTCTTTTCTTGTCCATGTACTGTTCTCTGAAGTTTTATTATCTAGTGACCAAGGTCTTTCCTTTGTCTGTCCCATCCCCTTGCCTTTCCCCCACCCTCTGCCCCATGGTGCTTGGAGGTTGAACTCAGGGCCTCACTTTTGCTAGGCAGGAGTTCTACCATTTTAGTCACCCCACCCTACACCAGCCCTTTTTTGCTTTAGTTATTTTTCAGATAGGGTCTGATGCTTTTGCCTGGGTCTGACCTCAGATAGTGATCTTCTTGATCTCTGCCTCCTAAATAGCTTTAATTACAGGTGTGTGCCACCACATCCGGTCATTCCTTTGTCTTTGAGCAAACCAAATTCCTACAAATAAAGTGTTTCATGTCCAGCTTCAAAACTTCTTTCTGGTCCATGAGCTCATGGTCTCCACTGTGGAATTTCTTCTCTCTCAATCTGCAGTTGTAGAGACCCAAGGTGACTCTTCTGCTCTGGGGACTCTGGAGGGATATGGGGCAGACTCAGAAGTGACATCTGGGTAGAGAGTGGCACCCTTTAAGAAGAGGAAAGGATGAGAACTCCTCTTCTGCCTGTGGCCCCTCTCTTCCCCCTTTCTCTTGGCTTCTTGTGGTTCTCTTGGCGTTTTCCCTCTATGAATAATTTCATTTTGCTTTCCTTTGTGGCTGGCACAGTAAGAGGGTCTCCTCTCCAAAGTAGGCAAATTCCTTGCTCACTTAGAAAACTGAGGCGCCCCAGGGGAAAGGACAGGCTTAAATTGGTCTAGCCCCATTCCAAAAGCTCTAAAGCTTTTTAGTAATAAACAAACTTCTGAGGAAAAAGAAAAAAAATGAGTTTTTATTTTTGGCATAAAGAATAGTCTACTTAAACCCAATAGTCTGTCTGTGTGTAGTGCAACCATCTTTGTGGCTTCAAGTATTGAGTTAATGGCTGTCTGAATTTCACCATGTGGTGGTGATAAGTTTTTGCCTTGTGGGAACTTCCCAAGGACCACCCTTTTGCCTGCCACAAGATGACTCCTTTTTACATTGCTTCTGGGCCTCATTCTGGAGATATGCCCTGATCTCTTGATACGAGAGATAGTAGGCTTTTCACAACAAGCCTCTTGTGCATTTGTTTCTTTCGTTCTTTTTTTTTTTTTTTTTTGACAGTACTAGGCTTTGAACTCAGGGCTTCACAATTGCTAGGCAGGAGCTCTATCATGTAAGCCATACCTCCAGCCCTTTTCACTCAGTCATGTTAGAGATAGTGTCTCACTTTTTGCCCAGGCTGTCCCGGACCCCAATCCTATTTTATGCTTCCCACTGTAACTGGCATGATTAGTGCACACCACCACACTCAGTTTTTTTCCCTTGAGAGAGAGTCTCAATGGCCTGGAATTGCACTCCTCTTGATCTCCAATCTCAGCATCTGTGTAGCTTGAGCTGACATGTGCATGTCACCGTGTTCAGCTACTGACTGAGGTGAGGTGTAGCAAACTTTTTGCCTAGGCTGGCCTCAAACCACTGTCCTCCTGATCTCAGCCTCCCAAGTAGCTAGGATTACAGAGCTGCTGGTGCCCAGCTACTCTCATGTATTTGTAGAAACAGAACCAAGCTGTGCCAGCCCTGTTCCTTCATCCTGCTGCTGTGTCTATGGCACTGTCCTCTGCAGGGCCTTCTGTACTTACGTGTATTCTTTCCTGGCTTTTCTAAAGGTGATATAAGGAAATGCTGGAGAGACATGGGGAGGACATAGTAGGAAGTATCTCTGAAGCTGAGAACAAAAGATGTTCTGACAGCCACCACTGTCTAAACTCCCAGCCACTGAATGAACCCAGGGTCTTTCCCCTTTTAGTCTGGTGCTTGGGACTGAGCTTTTGCTATGTTCAGTAACTCTCCCTGCTGAGTTATCAAAATGCCACACAGGCAAGTAGCCATTTTGAATGTGAAGAATGATTGTTTTTCCACTTCTTTCTTTCTTTCTTTTTTGGCCCTGGGGTTTGAATTCAGGCCTCATGCTTGCTGGGCAGGCACTTTATTGAGGCACTGCATCAGTACCAAAGAATGACTGTTGCCAGGCAAGTCATCTTCATACCACTGACACTTCATGAGGCAAATCACAAGGGTTGGGGAGGGGGGCATGTTGGCATTCATTCTACCCTGATACATTCTAGTAGAGGTGTGATTTTTTCCCTTACTTACAAGCCTTTGAGCAAAATAAATGTTGAAGATATCCTCTGCCTGGAACCAATGGCACAGACCAACTTCTAGCCAAATTGCTCACTCTGAATGCTTAGAGGGGTAACTTCAGTCTCCTTACTTCTGTCCAGCATCTCTCTGGATTCAAAACAATTGAACCTTTATTAGTTTCCTCTGGTTGTGCACATCCAACTCCCAGATGAGTTCCAACCCATTTTTTCTTTTCAGTCTCCATATGTTCCAAGGCTCCTCCCAAGGCCTCTTATTTTATCTGATATAAATTTGAATTTAGAAAGTATTCATATTTACTGAAGATAATTCTTTCCTTACAATCAGATACATAAAATTTCAGTTAACACAGAAAAAGAAGAGCTTTGGAGAACCATTCTATAGAAATGTCTTTATTCACCAAGTTTAAGGTGAAGGGAGGAAAATAATTCTTTTTTTAAGCATTTTGTACACCAGGTTTACAAAAATACTCCTCCCATTGCCTATAATTTGTAGTTACTGAGGTGGTGAATAATTTGTAGAGAACCGGCTCTTTGGAAGCAGCAAATGGATCAGCTCCGAACATCCTGAATGCACACATGTGGTTGTCTTACATTGTTTCCAGTTTTCTTTCTTGGATTTCAAAGTAGGGATTTTTCTTTCTCTTTTTTTTAGAGTTCAAGTAGATAAGCTTGAAGATGCAGAAATCTGAGATGAATAGTTCTGAAGTTAACCCACATCTGAAGCCATGATTTAAAAAAACATCAGCATTGAGGTATGTCTTTGGGAAGGAAATAAGAGTTTTGTGGTTTACACATTGTTGCTTTTGCCTGCATTCTGAGGACAGGTTAAGGCACATCATGAAGGGTGACTCTGTCAGAATCACATTCAATGAACCAGAACTCTAGGAAAGTTTAAGTTCTATGATGGGCCATGTGCCCACAAACATACCAGGAGTGGAGCCATTATGATAATTAGAAAACTCTTCATATTTCTTCAGTGGTCCTGTGTCTTGATGGACCCATTAGGAACTCTGGGAAAGAAAAGGAAAACTTAAAAATGTGAGTTTTCTTTTTGAACTGAGCTATGGCCCTGAAAATGCTTCCAGGAACTCAAAGTTAGACTTTTCAGTGCAGAATGGGGGCAGAAGTGTACTTCCGGGACAGAGCTGTTTGACCTACCTTAATGGGTCAGTATCACAGCTTTCTAGGCCATTAATGCAGTGGGGGCAGGTGGTGGAAGATGGGTTTATACCCAAGTGAATTTGGGAAACAAGTCTTTCTCAAAACTAATGAGCTATGGGACTCTCCATGGATGTGTGTTCAGTAGTGCTCACCATAGTCCTATGGAACTCTTTTCTTTTTGTTCATTAGTTTTTGTATACCAGCTGTGAATTGTTAGATGCTAGGAATACAACATAAATGAGATTAGCAGTGCTTGTGTATACAGAACAATATGTTAACAGTAAATAAAAATAGTTATTGAGAGGCTTGGTGGCAAGTGCTTAAGAGAATGGTCTCTGGAGCAGTGTGGCCTGGTTTTAATCCTGGGTCTGACATAAACTTCATGGCCAAGGGCAAGACACAAAGTCTCTCTATCTTCAGTCTTACCTCTGAAACACTGATAATAGTATCTCCTTTTTAGACACTGCTGTTGTAAGGACTAGTTACAAATACGTGCTGGCAAATACTAGATTGTATACAAGTGTCATCAGAATTTGTGCAATAATGCTCACATATGGTCATATAATGATCTCATTCATACTATAATGAAGACTACATGATTGACTCACTGGGGAGGATATGGTGATGGGAGGGGATGTCTGAACAAGACAATCCAGGAATGCACTGAAGGAGACCTTGTAAAAGTGAAAAATGGAAAGCTCTACAGATGGTATGAGAAAAGCACCCAGAGGAAAAAGCAAGTGCAGAGGAAGCATGTGACAAACTCCAGCACCTATCATGTTTGGAAAAAGAAAATACGCTAAACAAACTAGGGCTAGAAGCAGACTTCTTCACCCTGAAAAGGACACTATGAAAAAACTACAACTGTGTCATACTGAATAGTAGAAGGCTAAAAGCTTTTCTGCTACAATCGTGGACAAGACAAGGGTGGCCACTCACATCACTGATATTCAATATTTGCAATGGTTAATTTTAGAAGTCAGCTTGACTAGATTAAGGATACCTGAATACCTGGTAAAACATTACTTCTGGAGGGTTTTTCTTGAGGAGATTGGCCTCTGAGTCAGTGGACTGTGTAGGGAAGATCTGCCCTTTTTTGGGTGGCACTAGTCAATCAACTGGGGACTCTGATAGAACAAATGGGCAGAGGAACGACTAATTTCTTCTGTACTAGAGCTGGGACAACCTTATTTTTCTGTCTTTGGACATTAAAATTTCAGGTTCTCTGGCCTTTGGACTCTAGGACTTGTATCAGTGATCCCTGAGTTCTCAGACCTTTTTGCCTAACTTGGACTGAGAATTATACCACTCCTTCCCTGGTTTTGAGGCCCCTGGATTTGGACTGAACCATGCTACAGGCATCCCTGGATTTCTGGCTTGCAGATGGCCTGTTGTGTAAATTAACCCCATTATCAGTATCATGAGAACCAATGCCTCTGATAAATCACCTTTCATCTATCTATCTATCTATCTATCTATCTATCTATCTATCTAGCCAGCCATCCACCCTCCCACCCATCATATCATCCATCTTACTGGTTCCACTCTCTGGAGTGCTCCTCAAAATTAATGAGATTAGAAAAGTAATACAGTATTATTCTGGAAGTTCTAGCTAGAGTAGTTATGTAAGAAAATGAAATAAGAGGCTTCCAGATTAGAAAGGAAAAATGTAAAATTTTTTCAGATGGCATTATCTTGTGTATAGAATGCCTTTAGGGATCCACTAACCTGTCAGAATTGATAAGCAAGTTCAGCAGGGTTTCAGGATATACAATCAATAAGCAAAAATCAACTATTACTATATACTTGTAATAATGTAAAATTAGATTAAGAAAATTATTTTTATGGTAGCATAAAAAATACTTAGGGATAAATTTTTGAAAAGGAAGCAAGTATAAAATGAGTATTTTTAAAAACTATAAAACATTGTTGAAAATTAGAAAAAAATCCCATAACATCAAAAGCACAAGCAACAAAAGAAATACAGATAAATCGAACTTCATCAAAATTTAAAACCTTTGTTCACCAAAGAACAGCATCTAGAAAGTGAAAGGAAAACCCACAAATCATATATGTGATAAGAGGCTATATCCAGAACACATAAGGAGTTAGTATGACTTAATAATAAGAAGACATCCCAATTCAGAAGGGTCTGCACAGTGTTTCTCCAGAGAAGATGCTAATGACCGTTAAGTACACGAGGAGATTTTCAGCACTGGTAGCCATGAGGAAGATGCAGCACACCACAGTCGGATACCGTTTTATAATTTTATACCCCTGTGACAGATGGATGATGACAAGTGATGCTGAGAATGCGGAGAAACTGAAACTCTTTTATACTGCAGATGGGAATGAAGAGTATTTTCAGAGTGATTGTTTTGGAAAACTGAGTGGTATTTCCTCAAATAGTTAAGCATAGAGTTAACTTTTGTTTTGTTGCAATGCTGGGGATTGAAACCATGATCTGATGCATGCTAGTCAAGTGCTCTACCACTGAGCTACATCCCCAGCCCACATAGGATAGCCTTCATAAGCTAGCATATGCATTCCAAGATATATACTCAAGAAAATAAAAGCATATGTTTATACAAAAATACTAATATTTGTGGTGTACTATGATTTATAATACCCAAAGAATGGACATAACCCAAAATGTCAACTGGGGAAAAGACAAATAAAATATCAAATATCCATACAGTAAAACATTTGGCTATGAATAGGAATGGAGCACTAATGTGTACTACCATGGGCAAACCTCGAAAATATGAAGTGAAAGAAGCTAGTCAGAAAAGAACATGTAGTCTATGATTCTGTTTATATGAAATTTCCAGGACATGCAAGTCTTATACAGGCAGAAAGTAGATAAACGGGTGCCTACAAGTAGGGTATATGGTTGGAAATTAGGAGGATCTGTGATTTCTTCTTGAAATGATGAAAATGTTTAAAATTGATTTAGCAATTGTCATACAACTCTGAGTACTCTAGAAACCATTGCATCATATACTTTAAATCAACGAATATATATGTGAATTATCTATCAATGAAATTATTATATTGATATATGTCTTAGAGATTTAATCATCAGTATTTGGTGATAGATTAGATTTAGTAAGTAGGGACAAAGTAGGAATTAAGAATGAAATCAAAATCATGCTCTTGGGCAACTTCTGAGAATGAGAGGAAAAGGGATTTGTTTGTTTCATTTTGTTTTGTGGCAAGGTGAGCTTTGAGAATCTGTTTAGATATATATTAAGCTTGAAGTGCCTGTTAAATATTCAAACAGAGACATTAGACAGACAGGTAAAGGTGAGTCTGGAACTCTGAGGAGCAATCAAGACTGGAGGTACAATTTAGATTACAGGTAAATCCATTGGAAAAGATGAACACACACACACACACACACACACACACACACACACACACACACACACCATATGCACACACAGGCACACAGTGTATGCTTTCCAGAAACCTCAGAAGTATACTGACCACCTACATTAGTGCATTCTTTCCTCAGGATTCTTTACTAATTTAGATGGTGTGAAAACAATTTTTTAAGATAAACATTCCTTCAAGTAGCATCCTAATTTTTCCATTCTCTTGTGAAAATACTACTTGGGAAAGGACAACTCAGTAAGCTATAAAGCCCATTTGAAATGTTTTGAGCAAACCTTGTGGTTTGAGCATGTGACCAAAGACTACTACTCATTCTGGATGAGTCTAAGCAGTGTTTGTTTCTTCTGTTACAAGATGTGTGCTCATACACACACACACACACACACACACACACACACACACACACACACACACACACATATATATTTTGGTGAGTCAGATGTTAAAGTTAGAGCTGACTGTTGTTAACTAAAATTTCTCTTACATGGGATATTGATATCTATCATAAAACAATATTTTTTTAAATCCTTTCTTTTCTCTGATTGGTCTGGCATGAAAATAAGGAATGTCCTTATTTCGCTAACTTTGGTTAAAGGCTTCATGGTATAAGAGGGTTTTTTTGTGTGTGTGAGTGTGTGTGTTTAAATGTATGAACTTACAGTTGTTTGGTTATGTTTTATTATATATGTTGGAGGCATATGTTGGGGGTTTTGAGAAAAAAATTTTCAATATTACTTTCTCTAAAACATTCTTTTTGTGGAATAAGCATCTTTATTTGTTCTAGAATCCAGATCCACAGGGTTCCATAGGGTTCCATAGGGTTTAAACCTTTATTATTGTAAGAAAGTGATTTTAGTAGTGTGGATTACTTGATTGGAGGTTAGATTATCACCCATGAAGAAAACACTCTTTCAAAAAAAGCCTGATTTTTTTAGAATCCTTCTTTTTTTAGTTGTCCTGTGCCCAAGGTTTAGGACCTAAGCTAACCTCTTGCAACTTCCAGTCACAGGAGAATAAGAGTGGTTATCTGGGAAGAATCATTTGAACTTCAACCTGTTATCTTTGCTGCAGGGCTATACTAAAGGGCACTTTTGACTGCTTTATTTTAGAAGAGTAAGTTGCAAAGGGAAAGGGCTCAGGAGGCTCTGCTCAGGACTCATGGCTACTGGAGAGCAGCCTACAACCGGCCTTGTCATGGCGGGAGTCTGGTCAGGTCAGTTTGCTTGTCTTCTAATTGTTTTCAGAACCGGACTCGATGAAGCAGGTGCTCCTGACAACACTACAGGTCATTTAATGGAGAAGTACTAGTTCTACTCTTCCTGCTAAGGGTGGATCGGTGCAAATTGCTTTGTTTCTCAAAACATCTTATTTGTCTTGGGCAGTAGCCAGGCCTGTAATGTGGGTGGTGTGTGCTGTGTCGCAAACCTCAGGCCCCAAAGCTTGAGCGTTACTTTGTTTGACAGATCAAATGAGTGTGTACAAAACAGGCGGAAAGCCTTCGGGAGACTACAGGGGGCAAACATCAAGGGATGTGTGTGAGCCTGTGTAGACAGCCCCAGGCAGATGTCTGAGGTGCCAGCAATGGTGCCATGAAGAGAACCAAGTGGGAAGGTAAGGGACTTGGGATTTTCTAAAGTAGCTCCATTTGGTTGCATTTTGGAAACCAGTTAGTATTTAATGGGTTGATGGGAAGCTTATTTGGTCATCATCCCCTTTTTATTTCCTGGCAATGATTTTTGGACGTTGATCATGAAATTAGCTTAGAGCAGTTCAATTAAAAATGTCACTAATTAACTTTTTAAGTAAAAAGATGTTTTGTTTGTTTGTTCTTTACTGCTGTCAACCACCAAAAAGGTCAAGTGTATCCAACTCTTTAAGTAGAAAAAACTAACCAGCATTAAACATCCTAAGGGAATTTCTTTGCTTCAGATCTTTTATTAGATCCAATTTCATCTGAGACCTAACTTAAAATTTACCACAGAACAGGAAGCAGAAACCACGGAAGTCTCTAAATATACCTTTGTACTTCTCTGCTCCTCACCTGCTCTCTCTCCCTTGCCACTTGTGTACACGCACATACGCATGCGCATATATCCCTATCTGTATTTGCATGAAAAATAGGTACGGGCAATAAATGTAAAGTGCAATACAATAAAGTGAGTGGTTGAATATCAGTTGGAATGAGGCTTAATTTTTTTATTTCACTTTCATATGGATAGTTTTACTAATTCTCTTTTCTGGGCTTAAGATTTTTCATTCTTTGGCCCTGGGAGGGAGTTGTATAACCATAAAACTTGAGAATCCTGGCCCTGGAATAAATGTTCCTTTTAAAACCCCAAGGACAGAAAATTGAATACAGCTGTGCAAAAAAAAAAAGGAAAGAAAAGAAAGAAGAAGTTGAGAGATGGTTCAGGGTTGCAGGCTCTCTGACCAGCTTTCCCAGTGCAATTGGGCTGTGGTTTCTTGGAGATGAAAGGCAGGGAGCTTCGGTGTTCTTTGTGAAGGGTTCACAGGAAAGCCAAGACTTCCTTTAGAACTGTGTGTCTCTGGAATATGGATAAGAGAGCTTTCTCACTGGTATAGCTGTCTGTCATCTTGTTTGTCCTCTACAGATTCTACAGTTTTTCCTGCAGAGGATTGGGGTTACTAGGCAATCTTCTGAGATGTCATGATTCCATAAACCTTGAAGTTCTCACTAACAAGGAAGCTTCAGAGCTTAAACCCTTTATAGCAGAGTCAGAATACAGAACAGAACCAAGATCTTTGAGAGTCAAATTTCCACTCTTTGGCTCCCACAGTCATGGAATTTTCCTCGGTACAAAACAACTGTAAAGTGTGGTCCTGAGAACATGGCACTGTTCCTTGCTCCTCCTCCCTGGGGATGGAAATCAGGATGCTGGCTTCTCTGATGTTTGCCTGGTGGGTCCTGCTGTTTGGTTTGCAGCTGGTGGGGAGGCATCCTCGTGGACCCTAACCTCTGTGCGGCCTGGCATTAATCACTTTCCTCTCTGTCAGAGCATGTAATGATGATTCATACTTCTTCCTCTACAAGATTAGATTACTGTAATTTTCATATCCTGCAATGCCCACTGGGGATTTGAATTAATACATGTTGGTACAGAAAGCAGGATTGTGTTTCTGGGGAGAAAGGAGTGAACTTGCCCACTTGGCCATCGTCTGAAAACTTTAGGGAGGGCCTCTCTGAAAAGCAATCCTGCCTTGAGGGCTTACCACGTCAATCAGTTTTGCATGCAGCCTCTCTGTGCATATGGTCCCTGGGCACTGGATTTGCATAGGGGATGCCAAGCCTACAAGATCTGCATGCCAGGAGGGTTTCACAAGAGAGCCCCATATTGAAATCAGACACTGCTTAATGAGGAAAATCTTCCCCAGAGAGGTATTTGGGACGCAGGCAAAGCAATTCAGGCGTGTGGAACCATCTGCTCAAAGCCAGCAAGGATTACGACCACAGGATGGGGAGCAGGGGAACCATGAGGAGCAAAGTAGCCTTTAAAAAAGTCTTAAGTTTGGTACTTTCCCTAGAGATCATATGTTGCTCATTTTGTTCTTTTAGCAAATATGTATCCAGCACTTACTGTATCATACTAGGCACTGTTCCAGGCTCTGGAGATAGACAGCAGTCCACAGGCAGACAGAAATATCTATCCTCAACATAGTCACAGTTGAGGGTAGGAGTCACTGTGTCACTGAGGGTAGGAGTGTGTTTTATAAAGCTAAACTTATTCAATTGGTTTCCATCTCTCTCTGTTCTTGAACTTTTGTTATCACAAAGGTGTGTTCCAGGTGCCTAACTGGAGCCACAGAAACATGTGGAGGTGTAACATGCAACCATCCGGTGTTGCAGAATTGTCTGTTCCATGGTTCTACTTTATTACAAGCTATCAGGCTTTTGTGGGCTGGCCAAGGATGCAACCATCACTTTTGTTTCTGGCTGAGGGTGAGAAAAGAACCCTCATGGGGCTGGTGATCACTGGCCAGCTGCAGTATATGGGGTTGCTGGTCTATGGGGACTGAGAGAGCATGCTCCTAGAAGGTCATCTTGCTTCATGTGTCTGGTGTGACGATGCTTTTCTATCCTTGAGAAGAACCATAGGTACTTCACGTTTTTCATTCAGGAATAAGAATGATCCATTCTCTGGCTGGGCATGGTGGCATATGACTATAATCCCAGCAACTCAAGAAGTAGGACAATTGTGATCTAAGACAGGTCAGGGTAAAAGTGCAAGATCCTATTAGAAAAAAAAAAACTAAAAAAAGGAAAAGGGGCTGGGGCATGGCTCAAGTGGTAGAGCACTTGCCTAGCAAGTGTGAGCCCTGAGTTCAAATCCCAGTACTGCCAAAGAAAGGCTCATTTCCCCCTTGGCAATTGGGACCAGCAAAAGAAATCTCTTGTGGTGCTAAGCGTTGTGATTTCAACAAAAAAGAAGGCCGGAGGTCTTCTCTGGTGTAGGGAATCCTTGCTCCATAGACAGCGGCATCATCCTCAGCTCACAGCCCACTTGAGTGGAACCCCTAGGGTTCTGCCATGTGACTACTTGCTGCTTGAGAGCAGACAGAAACCCCATATTTTTAGATACATAACAGCCTAACTGGAGCATGTCACACTTTGTATATCTCCGATTACTTGCAAGACTCTGAGCCTGGTGTCCAGGAATGCGTTCTGGAGCAGTCAAATGGGAGGGTGCATCTCTGGAGCAGGGACAGGGCTCACCCCTGGCATACTCACATTTCATTTGACCATGAGGCCAGCAGTCCCGTCTGTGCTAAGCTTTGCTGCATACCCATTGCTCTGGACTGCTGCCTGGGAAGAGATGATTGGCTTGAGAATCAGTGGTTCTAGTCAATGACTTACAGTTGACCTTGGAGCTCAGAGATCATCCTCTAAAGCCAGGGAAGCTTCCCATAAGCTTTCAAAAAAAGAGAGAGCAGACAGACAGACTCCACTGATGATTGATTGATTGATTACTATTATCTGAGAGAGGGAGCTTAGGGGGTGAATTCAAGTATGATGTATTGGATACATTGAAAGAACCTTTGTAAATGCTACAATGTACCCACACCCAGCATAATAATAAAAAATATTGCTAAATGAAACTAATATTCCCTTTTGTTGTTAAAAAAATCTACTCACAAACAAAATTACTTGGTTTTGGTGCAAATGGCCACCTGTTAGACTCAGACTGGTGTATCAGAGGTTAGGAGACAACGCATATCCTTTCTTCTCACATACATGTCAAAACCCTAAGTTTATTGAGAAAATGAAATGATCTCAAGTCTCGTCCTGAACTTAAGACAGAATCCAGGTCCTGTTTGCCTAGCCTTTTCATCCCCTAGAAATGAACAGCTTATAAAAGACTTCCAATGATCGCTCAAGTTCATTGGCATTAGAAAGCAGAGCTCTGTGGAAGGCAGAAGCAATTAGAGCTTTGTTGTCTTGCTTCCCTGTACTGACAGCTCTGGTCAGGGCTCTGATGTCATTGTTACTTCAGAAACAGAAGGGGAAAAACAAATTCAAAACCACGTGAACCAGCCACACCTGTTTCACTTTCTGCTTCTGAACTGTGGAGTGAACCTAGCCTTGTCTCCAGCTCCAGGGATTATGTGTTGATTAATGAAACCTGAAAATCTGGAGACTGTTGTAGCTGAATTGAAATGAGAAAAAGAAATCTGACCACAAGATATTCAGATCTTAGTTTTCAGTCTCCATATCATAAACGTTTATTACATTTATGGAGTGGTGGATATTGCCAGGTTCCATGGATACAGAGATAATGGAGTCTCCCTGCCTTTTCAAGGTCAGGGAAGGGCAAATAGGAGGGTTTAAAATCAACTGAGTCTCGAAGGATGATAGGGCTTTTCTAAGTGGCAAGAGCAAAGAGACATTCTCGGCAGACAGAACAGCCTGGCCGTAGTAGGTTGATTCACGTGGCTTCTCATGATTGGGTGCAGGTGACCTGCTGGGGGGTGGATGGGGTGACATACCACCAAGGAGGTGGGAAGTGGCCAGCTCAGAGAAGGTAAGGACTTCGGAATTTATTCAGCAGACCTGCCATCTCTGCCTCTGTGCTTTGGTTGGTTTTCCACTAGATTTATCTAAGTGTGAGGTTGGTAACAAAGCAAGTTGTCACAGTTCCATGTAATCTTCCCAACACTGAACAACATAACCATTAGTGTACATCACTGCAGTTCAGGTGGATATGAGATAATCTCTAGGTTAAGTGTAATTTCCAAAGTAGTAATAACTGGGGAAATTTTTCCTCCTATGGATGAATATTTATATGCAAAGTGACAATGAATTTTTGTGTGTGTGTGTGTGTGTGTGTGTGATTCTAGGAGTTGAACTCAGGGTCTCTTGCATATGAGGCAGATGCTCTACCACTTGAGCCACATCTCAGTACTTTTGCTTTTAGTTTGTTTTTCTAATAGGGTCTCATGCTTTTTCTTCAAACCAAGATCCTCCAACCTCCATCTCCCGAGTGGGATTATAGATCTGTACCACCACACAACTGGACCAACAGAGATTCTTTTACAAGGATGTACTTCTATTTGTTCTTCAAAAAAATTAATTTAGAAAGTTTGTCAAGGACTGGAGGTATGTAGTGTTTGCCTAGCAAGCTCAGGTCCTGAGTTCAGTTCCCAGTATTGAAAAAAAAATTTGTCTCCATTAGTGAGAAGTAACTGCTATCCACCAGCCCATGGTGGGAGATGCTAGAGGAGGGAAGAAGAATTTGGACTTCATGACTCCATGATTCATGGGTACTACTTGAGTCAGTAGTCCTGGCTCCAGCCCATGAGAGCCTCAGCAGGGAGTGAAAGTAGACAAGAAGACTAAAGTTCAAGCAGCCAGTCTTGATGACTGCTGAGATTTGAGTGACAATTCTGGGTTGGGTGGCCAAATAGTGGTGGTGAGGTTGTGTTCAGTCAGGAAAACAGGATCAATTTTCATGGTTAATGAGGAGTGCGGCATCATTTGTCTTGAATTTCATGTTCCCGTGAGGTGACCTGGTATTCTCAACTCCACGGTATCGGTACCACCCACTGCCTGAGTTCCAAATCCTGGGACTTATGTAGACATTTGAGGGAGTGGTCAGACAGAGAGGAAGTGAAGCAACTGGGGAAGACACAAGGAGGGCTGCAGAAAGTAACATCAAAGACTTTTACTAAGAGGACAGTTCTTAAAGGCGGAAGTGGTCAGACAGCGTCTGATGTCCCAGAGTGGCCAAGTGCAGATGAGGCATCGGGAGAGTCAGTGTTGGTGAGAGCCCTTTCTAGGGTGTATAGGAAACTGGGGCCAAATGCAGAACTGATGAGAATCATCTGGGGACTGGGAAGAGGAGGCGGGACTTGTGGAAGACTAGTGGTGATGAAACAGAATAAGGCAGGCCAGAGCTTGAAGAGCAAGGCAAAGCAGAAGGACTTTTAAGGCACAGGAGATGAGAGGCACAGAGCATATTCCTGAGCTTGTACTGCCCTCTTCAATGAACTCTTAGGAAGCCTCATCCTTCCCATGCATTGCAGAGCATTTCCCAGTGCTCATCACTCCTAAAACAAAAGTCTTGCATAAATCCATTTGGCCCAATGTTGGATATAGGCCTCATGCTATGGACTCTGAAGGGCACTGAAGCACTCTGACCATCTGTCCAGTCTACTGTTTGGAAGGCTTGACTATCATAGTGCAATTTTAGCTTCAAGAATAAGACTTCGAAGACTATAAAACTAAACTTGTTTTCTTTGATATTTATAGTAACATTAAAATTTGAGATGATCCAGTGTCCTCTCTTTTGAAGGAGTTGTTTTCTTGGTAATTCTCAAGTGAAGGTCAGATTTTGTGAATTTATAATCTTAGACAATGAACTGAACTTTGAAAAATGTGGATATCCTATTTTGTTATTGGATAGGCCCTAGGTCTTGCAGGTGCTCTTTTGAACTGGCCATATAATCTGCTATAATAGTCATTTTTTTGTTACTATAATGAAATACCTGAGGCAACTGACTCATAAAGGTTCCAGTCCTAGACCAAGTAGACCCATGTTTTAGGACTGTGGCAAGGGCAGCTCATCATGGTGGGAGTGCATGGCAGGATTCCAGTCACAAAAAGCAAAAAGAGAAAGAGGATGGGCAGGGTCCACAATCCTTTTCAAGAGTATACCCTCAATGACCTCAGGATCTCCCATAAGGCCCCACCTCCTAGAGGGTCACAGCATCTTCCAATAGTACCACCCTGGGAACCAAATCTTTCACACATGGACCTTTGGAGGTCATTCAGTATCCAAACTGTAACACCTGCCAAATTAATATATTCAGTTGGAAGGCAATACTTCAAATTTCTTATTCTTTACCAAATATTTTACTTTGGATCAGACTTCCATTCTTGAAGGGTAAAGGAAATACTTCCATTTTGAAGTCATTTTGTTTTTCGTAGTACTGAGGATTGAACCCAGAGCCAACCTGAAGTTCTTAAAATGACATTGATAGTAGGTAAATCCATGTAGATTTATGTGAAGCACATTATAGTGAGTAGCCTATTTACAAATGAATTGTACTTGGAAGTTTTACTTAAAGTAGGATTGTTTTGGGGGTTGAGCATCTTTGAGAAAACATTCTGTTAAATTTTTAATTTTGACGTAATTGTAGGTTCAAATGCAGTTGTAAGAAATAATACAGAGATCCTGTGTACCTTTACCCAGTTTCCCCCAGTAAGACCATCTTGCAAAACTATAGAACACTCTCACAACCAGGACATTGACACTGACACAGTCAATAGAAAAGTAGAAGAGTTCCATAGCAAGGATCCCTCATGTTGCCCTATTATAGCCACCTTCCCCTCATCTCTAACCTCTGATCAACCCTATGTCTTCTCTTTTTCTGCAATGTTATCTTCTGGTGAATGTTATAGAAATGGAATCATACTACAGCTAACATTTTGGAAGTGACTTTCTTTCACTCAGCATAATTTTCTGGCTGTTTAGCTAGGCCATTGCTTAGGCTACTGTATGAATAGTTTGTTCTTTTATACTGTTGAGGACTGTTCCATGATATATCCATACCACGGTAAAGATTAAATTATTTTTTTTTCTGTCTTTGGATGTACAACTCTTCCAGCACTATTTGTTGAAAGGCAGGGAAATAAGTTGAGCATATTCATGTGAGGCTATCTTTCTGTTCTTTATTCTGTAGCATTGATCTGTATGTGTCTTTCCCTTCATCAATGGCCACACTAGATAGTAGTCCTTCATATGGGGTGGGATGATTCACTTAGTATTTTTTTTAAAGATTATTTTGACTAATCTAGGGCCTGTACCTTTAGAATAAGCTTGTCTGTAGCTGCCAAAAATTCTTGCAGGGTTTTGATAAGAATTGCATGAAACTTATAGATCAATTTGGACAGAATTGATGTCTTTACCATATTGACTCTTCTGAACCATGAACATGGTATATGGCTGCTTATTTATTAAGATCATCTTGGATTCTTTTCATCAGCATTTGTAATTTTAGCATATAGATGCTTCATATGTTTAGTGGAATTTCTCAATATTTTGTTTTCTTTGGGATGATTGTAAATTGTATTATATTTTTAATTTGGTTTTTCACGTGTTCATTGTTGGTGTAAAATAGGTGTCATGGAAATGTGAATGCAGCTTTTCTTAGAAACTATATCATGAATATTCATGGTATATTAGCCTACAGCACTCAGATTAGAATTCATAATGAAATTGATATTACAGTTACTGGAAAGAATAGGAGACTGCAATATTGTTATGATACTAATATTAAATAATGAGAGATGAGCAAGTTACTTATCAAATATCTTGGTACAAATCTTGTTCCGACTTCAAATTATAACTCATCATATATGACTTTTCCATCTTATGTCATTTTATGGAAAGAAGTAACTGTAATGGGAGTTTTCCCAGTTAGTAAGAAAATTGAGGAAATGTTTAAGCACATTGCATGGTTAGAATTAACTGGGATTCAGACCCTGGGTTCAAACCCCAATACCCCGAGAGAGAGAGAGAGAGAGAGAGAGAGAGAGAGAGAGAGAATTAACTGGAATTCAAATAATGAAAGACAAAAAGGATATATAAAGAAATAACTAAGAAGAATTATTTTATTTGACTCCAGCTCACATTATTCCAGCACTGTTTGGTTGGTACAGGGAAGCAATGAGCAACAATTGAAGAGGCAAAAGTGCAATGTTTATTCTGTGGCAATGAATCTTTTTTAGGTAAAGAAAACTGCATTTTGTGGTAATAGTGATTCACTTTCCTCCTCCTGCCTTTTCCCAGATAGTCGACTGTTGTTATGTACATTGTTACTTATTTTCTACCCTGCTTGTCTGCTCATATAAGTACATAAAATAAAATAAACTTAAAAATGAGGGAAAGGCCAAAACTGGTCAAAAGGAAAATAAGATGAGAGCCAAGAATGTTATTAGGATGCAAAAGTCCTGCTGTGAAGTTTTGTTTGTTTGTCATCTGGAAGTGGGTAAAAATTTTGGCTTGGACAAATTGTTTTTAACCCTTGCAAAAACAGTCATGCAGCCAATGTCTATCACGCCTGTCCAGGGTATCTGCCGTCTTTTATTTTTTGTTAATTGGCACATAATTGTACATGTTTATGGGGCTAAGGTTTAATGTTTTGATATACATAGACATTGTGTAATGATCAAATCAGAATATTTAGCTTATTCATTACTACAAACATTTATCATTTCCTAGTGATGAGAACATTCAAATTGCTGGCTCCTAGAATTGTGAAATATACCATAGAGCCATGCCATTTTTTCACATGGCCACAAGTTTGTCCAGTTAGGGTTTAGGCATTGTCCTTCAGGGTTCATTAGTAACAGGAATTCAGACCATGCTTTGGGAGGCCTCCCTCCACCAACAGATGCAGCTGGTGGTCTGGGATCACTGACGCTCAGAGGCATACCACCGGGAGGCCCTGTGAGGCACAGCTTTTCTCCAGCCCAGGACGTACGAGCTTTGTGATTTCCATTGAAGGGAACACAATTAAGACTGTTCCTCTTGGTGACAACAGGGACCCTTACCATTGTAAGTATTTTTGTAAATGCAATTGTAATGTCTAGTTTTAATGTTTATAAAACATAGATGGCCTTTGAAGAAGTGGTTGTAATTGTTGGATTTTTTTCTTTAGTTAAGGCCATCTGGTTTTTAAGTGACATGAATAACCTGAGAGCCATCGGGATATAGTCTCAGCAGGTCAGAGGAATGACTTTGATTTTAAGCAAAATATTTGCGCTGATTTAGAGCAAGTACTTCCTGCATGATTATTTCTTCTAATGATTAATTTTTCTAGAAAGATAGGAAAAGGTAAGCAATCCATAGAGAGCTACAGAATTGTAAGTGTGCAAAGAGACATTTGTCGTGATGGCATGCTGTTTAATACACAAGTGGCTATCCATCCTTCTGCTTACTTTGGGGTTGTTCATTCAGTGTGTCACATTGATGTTGTGTCCATCATCAGTGCTGATGTGTTCTTTCTCCTGATCTAAAAGCAAGAGTTAGAGACATGTTTGACCATCCAATTCTGTATTGCTGTAGCCTGTTCAGTCAACTGCTGTCATGTTTTTAATTTATCTATAAAAACCAAAAGAAAGACAATGTGGACAGTTGAGTTGCCTTTTAAGTGGCTGCGGGCCAGCCTGTGGCAACAGCTGATGGGCTCCTCTGAGTTTCAGGAGCTATTTCTGGTAGATTAGCTGGTATCAAGGCTCTCAAGTTCAGGCCATAAAAGGCCGGTCCCATGTGGAGTTGCCACATTGCCTCTGACCACGTCCTCCAGACTAAAGTGTCCTCAGGTTTCACGTGGATTTATCCCATAATGGATGGCTCCGCCAAGGCCAGATTGGGAAAGCGCAGCCTTGAGGACACCAGGGGACTGAAAACTCCTAAGAGGAGACGCTTTTTGTTCATGTTTTGGTGTTCTTTTTGCAAAGAAACTTTGGGGATGTAGCCTTCACCTATTTCCTGAGTCTGGCATCCTCACTTGCCTTTTGGAAAGCACCGTTCTAAATTTATCCCGCTCTGAATCATCGCTTCTGATAGAGGCGGCTGCCTTGTGTGCATTGTGATGGCTGCTGATTTCCTACCGTGTCACTCGGGCTAACAGGATATTTTACTTTTTTGCTTAGAATTTGAAAGTAACATTCATTGAAGAGACTCAGTGAAAATACTCAAGGACATCCTTGAGTCCTAGGGGATATAGCCTGTTTTATTTTTTTAAGTAGAAAAATAAGGAATTGCAGTGTGATTTTTCCTTTGCCCTTTCACTTAGAGGAGCAAGGATTATACAGACATTTAAAGTAAGTGAAAAATCTTTCTATAACTCTAGGTGCATTTTTAAGTGCCACTTGTCTGAGCATGCTTCCTAAGGATTTGTTCACTTCAAGTATTGGAATGTTTCTGCCAGCATTTGCTAGTTTTATTGGAATCACTCTGGCAGGTATCCTTGGGCATATTTTTGAGGTCTGGAAGGATTGGGTTTTTTTTTTTTTCTCTTAAAAACCAGAGAACTGACTTTATAACATAGAGAGGTTTATTACTAACCTTTTGATTAATATAACTTAGAAAATACATTTTGTCTAAAAATTAGGACTTAAAGTCTTCGAATTCAAGTATATTCCCACTACAAAGTACTTCAATCATTTCCCAAGTGATGGGGTGGAATTCTGAAGTGCAAGTTGTATTTTACTCCTGCTACTGTTATTATCAATTTAATTATTATTGTCGTGCTGGCGATCAAACCCAGGGCCTTAGGCATGCTGAGTTTGCACCCCACCACAGGGCTACACCCCCAGCCCTCACTCTTTTTATTAACTCACATGGAAATATAAATCACTACTTATCCTTTTGTCTGATCTTTGTTTTGAGGGGTTTTGTAAGAAAATCTCACTTGAGGTTCTAGATTTTGAGCTGTAATTCATTTTTAAATTCTCTTGGTGGGGGTTGAAATGCTGTAAGGGCCTTCTTTCATCCTTAGCAATAGCTCTGGTCTCTGTAATTTAGTTTAATTTGCTGCTGAAAGATAGGACATTTAAGGCTGATTCGACAACATGCTCCTTTAGGGAAAAAAAAGTATTTCTTTATACCATATCAGATGAACAAAGATGAGCAGCAATTATTTTTATCAGGTAGAAAAACAAAATATTTATAAGAAAAGCATCATTGGTGAACACTGCTATTGTTCCCCGGAAGTAGCACCATCCCCCTAGGGGGTGTGGGGAAACCCTGGGAGGTAGATTTCCCTGTAACTACTACTGACCCCTGGAGGAATTCTTTTCGAAATTGTAAATCGCAATTTACATGCTGTCTGTAAATACGTAGACTATTACCCTGGCCCAAGTATTGGGGGTGTCCTTAGTGGAGAAGCAGTGCAGGTTTTGAATCATGCCCTCTCCTCCAGCAAGAAGCAGCACAGTGCCTGGCCTACTGGGGCTTCCTTTTCTTGCCAAGCCAGGTGAACTCTTGAGGAGGCAAGTGGTGATTGTCCTGCCAGCAGTAGGTCACCCACGTCGCTCTTCTGAGGAGGAGTGGAGGAGACATTGGGCAGAAAGAGGCTGTTGGTTTTGGACTTGCTCCTTTCTGTTAGGGCATGGTAATGCTTGTCAGCTGGCCCTCAGGGAAAAGCTTTTTAGAGATTATTCAGGCTGGTCCCAACAGCATAGTCATCCAAGTATGGTGGACATCTGTTTCTCATCCAACCAACAGTCACTTATCTTTGCTTGTATTCTTGGTAGCCAGGCCTCTGGAAGGCTTCGAACATCAATCCAGCATGCACATCTTTTGCCACACCTGGAGCCACTTAATATTCTACAGTCCAGGACTTGCGTGCAAAAGAAGGGCCTTTGAACTTGACAGGCATGGTGGGTGAGCTGCGGCATGCCGGCATCAGAGGCACGAAGCAGTGAGGGAGTGTGAGCACCACCAGTCTCCTTTTATGGGTGGAAACTGGTTTGGTTCAGAGGAAGTCATGTTCCCATGTTAGGTGCCTGAGCCATTAGGGCTGTCCTTGCAATTTTATTTTAAAGATGGTCTCAGGAAGTCTTCATCTAGACCAAGTCTCTCTCCCAGTGTGGAGCTTTCGAGAAGTTTTGGGCTTCAGTTTTGTGACTGAACCAGAAACCTTGTCACCATTGACATCCCTCGCTAGAGATTCTCAAGGCCTCTGTGTCTGTCTCTGACAGGACGGTCTTGATCCACCACCTCCTCTCCACCTCACTGCATCTTTCCTGGGACATTGCCCTTCATGGGTCTTTTTGCTGACTTCTCCTCTTGTCTAGTCTATGTTCACAACAATCTTCCTAGACAAACACCTGACCTTGTCACTCTAAATGCTGGTGTTCATGGCTCCTCACTGCTCCAGCTAAAGTTCAGAGTCCCTGATCTCACCTTCAGGGTCCTTCATACCAGTGTGATTTGCTGGCAACCTGCCCTGAAATGCTGTGCCTTCCCTTGCCTGCTGGAGAAATGACAGCACATGAGATGTGCCCAAAGCATCCTTTGACTGTCTGTCTTTGGCTCCAGAGCTTTGAATTTCAGCCTGCACTACAGGGCCACTGGTATGACATCCCGTGCTCCTTTCCTCTGGTGGGGGGGAGGGGAGTGCCCAGCAAAGCACCTGGGGCGCAGACTTCTTGCCACCCTACCCAGTAAGCATGCCTCATAGGGAGTTGACTCAATTGAGTTGAATCCTAATGACATGTGGTTTCTTCAGACCAGAATTTTGCTGTGTTCCTTTGAACCCTTACGTTGTTTGTTAGTATTCATTGGAGAGAAATGGTTCTGTGTTAGAAATGCTCCTTTATTTCCCTTCTATCTAATAATGCAAGCAGAAAGATTTGTTTCCTGGTAACAAGCCTGGTGGGGTTTCTGTACACACGCTTTGGCAGCGCAGGAAATTGAGGTGCAATGGGTGAAATCAGCCACTTCATTACTGGAGCCTTGCCTGAAATGAGCAAACTCGCCAGGTCCTTGACTTAGGCTCTTTTCCCAAGCCCTAGGCTTCATCTTAGGTAACACATCTTGGGAGTTACTTGCACTGTTGGCCTCAGGACAGCACCTTGATATACTTCAGAAAGATCACTATCCCCTGAGAACACTCCCTAGTGGTGGAGGTTTTGAAGAGACACGCATTTTGCCTCATTATTTGCATATTCTCTTCTTAAAGTCAATCCTTTAATCCCAAACAAGTTCATAACCTATGTCTGACTGGTTTTGTGTAAATAGAATAAAAAGCCACAGTTCTGAAATTTGCCTTGGGAGCACTGACTCGTGTTACAGCTTTGGATTTGTTCATTTCACTACCTATTTCGTGACTATTTCACCTTCACAGAGCTCTGGGATGGGAGGCATGGGATGTGGAAGACTGAGAGTGCTCCCTGTCCTTTGTCCTTCATTCTCTAGAGGAGCTCACACAGAGACATAGTGAAGCTCCTGTGCCCATCGGGCTGGAAGTGCTGCACAGTAATTATGGTAATTACCATAATGACACAATAACCACATGCCATCCTTTGTTACTGTGTGCCAGACTCCATGCCAGGTTCATACCTATGCTATAGCACTTAGTTTCTATCATAGTTCCTGGGAAATGTTAGCATTGTGCCCATTCTACTGAGGAATGAACACACTGAGACTCAAAGAGGCTTGCCCAAGGACACACACCTCAGAACTGGGGAGAACTTGATTTGAACCAGATCTCTCTGACTTCACCACCCACATTCATAACCTCTGCTGTAAACCAGTGTGGCCCAAATTGTAATAGCAATTGCCTGCAGTCTAAGTCTAATTTTGTGAGACTGGGTAATTTGTAATAAAAAGAAATGTATTTCTTACAGTTCTAGCAGCTGGGAAGTACACACCTCAGGGCTGTGTCAGGTGGGGCCTTCTTGCATCAGAGTTCCAGGGCAATAACAATGACAAAGCCATTCTTGAGGTAACCCAACCAATCTATCAATCCATACTGGGCTAGAGTACAAAGCTCTACTGATCCAATTGCCTACCAAAGGTCCCAACTCCAAATACCATTAACTTAGGACCTTGGGGATTCAGTTTCCCATCCATGAAGTTTGGGAGACAAATTCAAGCCATGGCACCTGCCATCTTGATACTAGCTCTGTAGATCTGGGGTGGGACAGAGACAAATCCAGATGCTGCTGCTGGGGGTTGTAGCTCGGGGTAGAATGCTTGCCTTGCATGTGCGAGGACCTGGGTTCCATCCCCAGCACTGCAAAAAAAAAAGAAAAATTTTAAAAAGCTCAGTTTTCGGGTGCTGCTGATGTGTCTGGTTTGAGGGCCAGCTGTTCTGCCATCAGATAAGAAGTTCTGCCTTAAATTACTTCCTTGCAGAGCCACAGAGATGGAAGCTACCAGGTGTGTGAGGAGAGGTGGGGGGCTTTGGAAAGGTGTCCTGGGGCAGAGGTGGGCTTCCCAGGTTAGCCTCAGTGCTCATCATGCCAGCTCTTACCCATTTCCCTGATTTTCTCCTGGCTCTGTCTCTGCATGCTGAAAACATACTCAGATTTCTCCCATTAAGATGGCCTCCAGCCCTTACCCCTCTTCTCCCCACCTGGTCACTCCTCAGTGCCCACTCGAGATGTTCTGTTCTCTCCCCTCAGACCTCTGTGGTCACCCAGTGCTCTGACCTCCCCAAGGCTGACCTTGGAGCACCTCTTTGTAAGGATCCCATCTTAGGCCTAGGAGAGTGACAGACTGGCCTCTCCAGTCCATGTGCATACTGCTGTGTTCTCAAGTTCCTCTCTGGGCCTTATTTTATATTTATTGTGTGTTTTCATTGGTTTTGTTTTTATATTTTACACATATTAATTCAACATTTGAATGGTATTCAGTGTGATATTTGATCAGCATCATTGTGTGCTGATCAAATCCAACCACCCTGTCCTGCACCCCCTCCCATTCCCAGTTTTTGATTATCACTATTCTCCTTTTGGGTCCTTATTTTTAAAATCATTTTCTGTCTCTTTACTTGCTCAACTATCCTCTCTTGAGGTCCACTGAGGATAAAAATTCACATGCTTCTCTTTATAAGATGAATTCTATGACCTGTCCACTCTAGTGATAATGTATCCATTTGGTCTTTGAGCTTATTTTGTCTTTGTAATTAAAAGTTCTCTTTTCATTAGCTGTGTAAAGATTTGTGTTCTTTATATCTATGCAGAAAAAATGAACAATTGTGTTCTCAATGTCGACCCAAAGGGTTTTATAAATAATGCACATACAATTTGTGAGTTGTGTTTTCATTAACCGCAGGCCCCTTGTTTCTTTCTGGATATCCATTACATTCTAAGCATGCAAAGTTGCCAGATAACTTAGGCTCAGCCACTAAACAGAAAAACCGTATGCACATTTTTAGATTTTTAAGATTTCATATCCTTTGAATATTTCAGGATTTTAAGTAAATGCTACTCTTTTATACATCCTGAAACTTGTACCTAATTTTACCCATATTTAACCAAGTTTTTAAAATATATACATGTTGTAATTGCACATGTGTTACACACTCAAAAAAACAAAGCACTCTAGCCATGCACAAATAGAAAAGCAGTTGATCTCAATACTTAAGCTATATATTGAATTCAAAAGTAGTTTATGAAGGCTACAATAACCTTTGAAAATTTTAGTACTGCATTTTCTTAGGATTGTGTTGTTGTTGAATTAACCTGATATTTCAGAATGAGCAGTGTTAGGATGGTCACAGAGTTCAAGTGCATTCATTTATTTTACATCTAGCTCATAACTTGCTATTAGTAGTTACCATTATGAAAACCAAAGACAAGTGGGATTTTGATACCCATGATTTGTTTGCAAATATTGCTTCAGATCCCTAACCCAGTTAACTGCTTTATGGGTTTGAGCCAGGTTATGAAAGAAGGATTGAGAGGTTGAGCATGGTGGCTTATTCTTATAATCCCAGCTACTCTGGAGGTGGAGGTAGGAAGATCTCCATCTGAGGCCAGCCCACGTGAAGCTAGCCTGAGACCCATTCTGAAAAAAATAAGCTGAAAGCAAAAAGACCTGGAGGCTTGCAGGTGGTAGAACACTTGCTGGGCAACTGCAAGACTCTGACTCATTCCCCAGTACTGCAAAAAATAAAAACAAAACAAAACAAAAAAAAACGGAAGGAAAAAGAAAGGACTGAGGGGCTTGGGGTGTAGCTTAGAGGTAGAGCCCATGCCTAGCCATACACATGGCCTGGGGTTCCATCCTTAGCACTGAAAAGAATAAATAAATAGGTAAATAGATAAAAATAAAAGTTAAAGACTTGGATATGCCAGTAAGAAGTAGATCACTCCCTAAGTTACACTTCTAGTCTTAATTTCCACCAGATGTTCATTTTAGCCAAACAAACAACATAGTCATTGGCCTTATGATTTCATACATTTTTTATTAAAAGTGTCGAGTATTTAAAATCCTTTGACTAGATAAGAAGTATGTGGTGCCAGGAGGAGAGTGACTAACCCTGTGCAATGCATGTCACGACACAGGAGACCCCCATTTCAGATGAAATTTATCTCTTCTCTCCCAGGCTTCCAGGAGCCTTCAAACAGCTAACCATTCTTTTTTCCTTTCTTTTTCCAACAGTACTGGAGTTTGAATTTAGGACTTTGTGCTTGTTAGGCAGGTATTCTCCCACTGAGTCATGTCTCCAGCCCTTTTTGCTCTGGTTATTTGGAGTTTAGGGTCTTGCTTTTTGCCCAGGCCAGCCTGGACTAAGATCCTCCTATTTTAAGCTTCCCCCCCATCACTGGGATGACCAACATTCACCACGCCCAACTCCTTTCCATTGAGATGGGGTCTTGTGAACCATTTGCTGGCCTGGCCTTGAACCATGATCCTCCTAATCTCAGTCTCCTAAATAGGTAGGATTACAGGTGTGAGCCACTGTGAGTGGTTTAGCTAACAGTTCTTAAGGATGCTTCAGTGAGAAGATGAATTGGAGAACAAATGGAAACAAAGTAACATGAAGGTGAATAACAGTAAGCAAGCTTTGTGCTGTGCCCACCCCACCCTAGCTCTCCCAGACTCCCAAGAAGTACTTGTGTTCCCTGCTCTCAGTGGAGGAAGTAAATTTCATTTGGAAAGTGAAGGTGTTTGACCCTGAAGACTGCTTAGGGCAATGGCTAGAAAAAGAAGGGGCAGCACTGGTCTTAAGTAACTGCTGTGTGACCTTGTGACACTCTATGTCTCATTCATTCAAATGGAGGTTGGACTGGAACTTTCCAGGGTCCCTAGAAATGTAATGTGAAGATTCAGAGCTTGAAAAACACTTGGTCTTCCTTGGTAAGGAGGCCCTGTGTCAGAAAGGTAGTGGTCAAGGTAGGGGTGCGAGAAGTTAGAAATGACTGCGTGTGGAGATTTTTAAGTGTCTTCTCAATGTCCCTGCTTATTTCTGTTTAAATGTGCAGACTGTTTCTTCCTTCTCTGTTGACTCATCATTATTCTTTGTCTTCAATCTTTTATTTTGGAAATTTTCTTCCATCTCTCAGATCTTTAAGCCCTTCTAGTTTTTTTCTTTTTTTAAATACTTAAATGTTCTTTAGCCTGATTTATTCTTATTTTTAGGGCTTTGTGTTTTTGTTTTTCTTCTGATGTGAAACCCCAAAGTGGGACATACTAACAAATTCCCTCGGGTCTGAGATAGCAGAACTTTCCTCTTCTGGACACCACAGGGAGACTTGGGGGCTCAACTGTTTTTGCCCATTAAATTGATCGGCTCAGTGCCAGGCATTCATTCGCCACTGTTAGCAGTTATTTCCTGAGCACTTACAGTGTGCCAGGGGTTGGCATAAGTGTTAGGGAAAGAGCATTGAAAACCAAAATCCCTACCCTCATTGAGCACATGTCCTAGTGGAATGGTGTTCACCCACCCCAGTGATGCTCTTGACCTTCAACCCTATATAGGCTGTCAAGTGCTTCCTTAAGTGATGGGACTTAATTTACCTGCCATGGTCTCTCTTAGTTGCTTTGGGTATGTGTTTTGGGGTGAGGGAGGTGCTAAGAAAATTTATGTTCTACTCGCTTAGTAAATGACAAGTATATGATGTTGTGATGTACTTTTTTTTTTGGTGGTACTGGGGTTGAACTTAGGGCCTCATCTTGCTAGGCAGGTGCTTTACCACTTGAGCCACTCCACCAGCCCTAAATGACAAGTATATGAGCCAGTAATATTAACTACAGTCACCTTGCTGTCTGTTAGTTTCTGAAAACTGATTCACCTCATCACTACATGTTTCTACCATCTCCAACATCCCCCTACTTCCCCCAGCCCAGTAACCACCCTTTTCTTTCTGTTTCCATGAGCTTGACTTTGTATCAAAACACCACGTTGCACACCTTGAGTATTTTATTTGTCAATTATACCTCAGAGATGCTGGTTGGAAAATCTGCCTAAGTAGGTGCTTGTTACATTTCGTATCTACCTAGTTGCCTGTTCTACCTTCTGAGATTTCCTTATAACTTACACTAATTGTGTTCTTAGGCTTTTTCTTAATCTGCTCAGTTTAGGTGGCAACAAATCAACTCCCTCTCTCTGCAATATATTTTTAATCTGTGTTCTCTCCACATCCCATAAAATGTTGATTCATGACTAAGGCAAAAGTTGATGTTGATCTCATTTAGCTAGGATGTGACAGATATAAATCACTGAATTAATGTCTTCCTTACTTTTAGTCTTTTTCTCAAAACATTATTATACTTACCAAAACTAAAACTAAAAGTAATCTTGTCTGAAGACTGAAGTGATTTTAGAACTGCTTTAGTAACTTAGACTGCTGTGCAGTGTAGACAATGTATCTTACAGCTGAAACTTTGGAGTCTGTCATAGTTCTTCCTGCATTTTTTAAAAAGATCATTCTTCCAGTCAGCTCTAGCAGCAGAAGAAGCCTGTTTGATACAAGCTATCATGTCCACTGCCTTCTTCCCATGTACTGCTTTTCATTTGAATTTTGCACAAGTTGAAAGAGCCTGCTTGGTTCATAGGGCTAGCGACATTTCAACATTTGTCCTTCACCAGATAATTATTTCATTAAAAGTAAATTACAATTTAGTCAAGTGCTCCAGATGAATGTGATAAGCAGCTGGTAAATGGATGCTCTAAGAGCTGAGGAAACAAATTTCCTTGGTGGTTTAGTGGTTTTAGTGGCTGAGCTAATTTTTGTACATGCATGGAGCATCTCTCCGGCTAACGTGAGAGCTGCTGCTGATGTCTCCAATGAATGAACTCAGACTTTGAAACAAAGTAAAAGATTTACAGGTGAGTTAGGGCAGAGGAAGCCACACGTGTGTGGTAGGAGGTTATGTGGCAGATGACCATTGTGAAAGGCAATTTTGTTCGGTTTTAAACTGAGGTCCAGGAATGGGCTTTGGAAGGTTGGAATAGCTCCCAAAAACAATATGAAAATGTTCCTTTTTCTGAAAGCTCATTTAATGAGCAGTGGATTATTGGTTTCATCACTTTTCTTAAAGGGGCTGTGACTCATGAGCAGCTGAAGTCACATTCTTCTGATTATCTGTATAGAAGCGAGGGGCTCACACAGCTGCACCTCCCCCTCATAGCTGTTTTGGTTGGGGGCATCTACTTACTGAGTCAAGGTCCGGACCCCACAGGGCCAGATCACTTTGTCCATAAGAACTAAGCATAGAAATGATTTAACTGGTGCTGTTGTGTAGGGTGGCTCCCAGCCACAGGTAGCTGTTAAGTGTTTAAAAGTACAGCAATTGTAGCCAGAGTATAGAGGCACACATCGGTATTATATCTCTAATTTGTCCATAACAGATGCACTGGCTGCCTTATTGTGCCTTTCTAGTTTTGTGTTTGGGCTTAAGGTCATGGAGTTCGGTGAAAAATTAGTTGAAATTGTCTTTTGTTTGCTTTCACTTTTAACTTTTTACGACTTTGTGGATATAAACTAGTGATGTCCTTGGGAAATCAGGGTGTGATGTGTTTAATTAAGACACTTTCCTGTGATGATGGCTAGGATAAGATCTTGTATTTACCAAGTGAGCCATGTGAAACACTCATCATTAGTTCTTTCATTTATTATTTTTGAATACTTACAGTGGTCACTCAAAATACCATGTATTGGACTGGGCATGGATGTCACTTAAGTGGTAGAGCACTCACTAGCATGCTTGAGGCCCTGAGTTCTACCCCTAGCACTGCAAAAAAATATATCTACAACTCATGAGCCTCTGACAGTTTCACTGTGTACAGACTCAGGACTCCTGATGGGAAGAAGAGACTTTGCCCACATGAACCCATGCAAGTCACTTAATCTCTCCAGAGTTTGCACATCTAGAAAATGACTTGTTGGCCTATACCAGCTCTAAGCTTCTTGGCTTTTACTTATAACCTTTATTATTAAAAATGAACCTACCACAGAGGAGGATAGGACGTATTGTGCAGTATAGGTCCAGAAGGGACTAGGCTGGGACCAGTAGCCAGGTGTCCCAGGTTGTGGTCTCCACCCTTGTCCCTGGGCTTGCAACCTGGGGTTGCTGAGATATCCTTTGGAGGCCTGGCGAACATGGAATCTGATTTCTAGGCATCCTACTATTTGTGCGGTTCATCTGTGAGAGTGAATTGGAAACCTTTTGTGTCTTTATGTGTGTGCTCATGCCAGTAATCACTCCCTTTGCAACCTGGGCTGAGACCTTAGTGGCCACCCAGGGGTTTCTTTGTGCTATTGGCCTTCCTGTCTGTCTTTTTTTCTAAATAGTACTTGGGAAGGACCCTAGGGTGTCACACATGCTAAGCAAGTGCCATACCTCAACTGTGCCCGCAACCCCCCTTTCAGCCTTTCCATGTTCTACTCAGTCTAGAATGCCCCTCCCAACCAACCCACTCAGTTTTTCCTCTGGTTACCTACTGCCTTGCTGGGAAATTCTTCCTGGGCTGAACCCCCACCCTCTTCCAGCTCTGACAGTGCTTTGCTGGGTTTTAACTGGCAACATGGGCAAAGTACCCGTGCCCTTGTATGTAGAATAGTGTGTAGGATAACAGGACGGGTAAGATGGTGCTCCATTGTACTTTTTCCACTGAAATGAGATTCTTTAAAGCATGTTTTTCAGAAGTGTAAGATTTACCTGTTTCTTTATGCAGTAACCTTTTGTTAAATACATAACTACAAAAGCAGGAATAACTCCTACGTCCCTCTCTTTAACCCTTGCATGGAGAGGAGATGAATAAATGGGTTTAAATGGATTAGTGACTGAGTATCAAAAACACTTCAGCTCAGCTGTTGAGCTGAATGGGCTTTTTAAAATAACCAACCCAGTTGACTATCCCAGATGCCACCTGGCCTTATTTGGTGTGTCAGAAGGGTGGTGAATATTTAGGGACAATATAAGGAGAGTCCTCCTGTTGTTTTTCCTCCTCTTTCCTATTTCTCTCTTCCCCTCCTCCTTCCTCTTCCTCTCCTCTCCTTTCCCTTTCTTTTCTTCTCCTTCTTTCTTTCTCTTTTCTTCTCCTCTTTCCTTTTCCTCCCTTCTTGTTTTTCTTCTATTTTCTCACATTCTCTTTTCTTTTGTTCCCTCTCTTCTTCCATCTGCAAGTAATAAGTCAAGACATAACAGCGTAACAATGGACATCTGTAAGTTCTACTGGATTTAATGGGTGCCGTGATAATTTTTAAAACACAGATAAGTCTAATCTCCCTTTACACAGTTCTGGTAACTTTTATAATGTTGATACTAAAACTGATCTTTTAAAGTTCTTCTATTCTGAAACATGAAATTTGATTTTTAAGAATCATTATACTTTTGTAGAAATAGACTTGTTATTTCTTCTGAGAGTGATTTGGTAATCTTATCTCTGTTATCTTTATTTATATATGTTTATATACATGTATGTGCATATGTGGCTGAATAATAACCCTGAAATATTTACATACTTTTTAAAATGTAGTTTGCCACTGGTAAAATGGAGAAAATGCAAACATAATATTCAAGTTTAATTTTAGTAGAGCAAATTAAAAATCAAGCCTCACCTCCTTTGGTGTTTGTTAACTCAAACTTAAAATTAGAAACATGGTAATTATTTGGCAGTTCGAACTTTGTAAGGGAAAACATATCATATTGTATGTGTGTGTGTGTATGTGTGTGTGTGTGTATGTGCTGGTCTTTAAAAATAGATATATCAGGCTGGCAGAGTGGCTCAAGTGGTAGAATACCTGCCTTGCAAGCATGAGGGCCCTGAGTTCAAACCCCAGTACCACCAAAAAAAAAAAAAAAAGGATATTACCACGGAAAGACATTGTCCATATTCCTGACTGATTTCCATGAAGACAAAATGGTGGGGTTTGGAAACGGTGGCCAAGAGTTAGTTTACAACTCTTCCAGGGAGTGCTCAATACTAGCTTTGACTGCATTCAGTTCATCTTTGGTCAGAGCTCTTTTGTTTTAAAAGCTAACTGCTGAAGAGTAAACACTCTTGACCCTCACCATAAATATTTGTCAGACATCTGGTTAGCTTTAGTTTTAACTGAATAAAATCATTTTGGCAGAAGAGTCATTAAAATTTGACAGCCCAACAAATTACACAAAACCCTGAAATTCACATCCCTCATTTTTTCTCACACAGGCACCAACTGTAACTCTGGCTTCATATGGAAACATTTCTACTGAGGTGCTGAAAATCTCCTCAAACATGTGCCCTTAAGCAAATGAAGTATATAATAGAATATAAACATGGGTGACCGAAAAAATTAACTGAAGTGTGTGTGCATAGTGTTTTCTATGCATAGTGTCTTTCTTGGTCCTCAGAGAAATTTAAAGGCTGTCACTCATTTTAAGAATTTTTAGTTTAAATTCTATCACCTCAGGGTATGACCATTGTCTGTCCTCTGTTGAATTGTCCATCCATGGTAGGTAACACAGCAAAACTGCCACTTCCAGCATAAAATGCCCTCCTGCATGCTTCTGGAGCATTAGAGCCTATGGTGATCTTTTTGTGTCTGCATTAAAATATCTGTTGGATGAAAGAGCCATTTGTGGGCTGAGCATGTAGTTCCATGGTGGAGGCTTGCATAGCATGCCTAAGGCCCCAGGATGGGAAAGGGGGACCTCCTTTGTAGCCTGGAAGGAATGGAGCAGCAGAGGGCTTGGGGCAGAGCCTAGTGTTTATAAAAAGGCCCAGTAGTTCTCTGGAGTCTGCCTGGGCCATTGTATCTGGATGTCACACATGAGTAACCTGAAGGCATTTGGGCTTTGCTACAGAGGAGTCTGGCATTGTGAGTGTGTGTGAGAAGCAGAGCTGAGGAGGGCTTGGGTCTGACCCTGCTTTGACTTTTGTTTTGTGCAGTTACTAATCCAGAAAAATCCTGCCTGAGGCCCTGGAGGCTGCATCTTTTCAGCCAGGTTTTGTTTTGTCAGGGAGCTGAAAACAGCCTGTTGTAGTCAGAAAAGACCATGTTTCCTTTCTACAGCTTTATGACAAAGTAAAACTTGAGTGTGACCAACTATGTAATAAACCCCTTTCCCCAAGCATTGTGAGTTGAGGTCTTGATTTCTAATCTGAACCATGTGCAGCTGTTGGTGTTTGGCTCCTTGTAGAGTTTTGAGGAAAATCAATGTCTTAAACATTCTCCCAGCCTGAAGAGGCCAGGATTAGCCAGCCTCCCATGGGGACATTCCTCGCCACCTTGTCTGAGCAGCCTGATGTCCCTACACACGTCTTGCAGAAGTGCATCTGTGACCATCTTATCACTGATTAGAGGTCAGCAGGACATCTTTGTGTGGCCCATGATAATGATGCTGGGATTTTAGGACTTGCAAACCTCTTAATGTCTTGGCCAGATTGTAGAATATTCTAGCAGGCACCAGTGTCTAAAACAAATATCCCTATTTTCTAGCAAATTGGGCCTGCTTTGGCTAGCTTTGTTCTTTCCCTTGTTGTGTAGACTCATACACAGAACTGAATTTGAGAAGAATCTAATCCCTATTGAAAATATAGAGCCCACCAGCAATAGGTAGGCAGTATGCTTTGCAGGGAGGGTATCCAGAAATCTCTTGATCACGGTCACCTAGTAGGATTCCCTTCAAGGAATCTCCAAAAATAGTTTACCATCTCCTTCTTTATGGCCATTTTCTAATTTAGAGGGCAGAATTTTTTAATACGAACTTGATTATTCACTAGTTGGCTTAGGTTTAAATAGTCAGACTCATGGAGAATACCATGGATGCTCACATATATACACCTGTTGAGGACCTTAGCACATGAGAGAATATTCTAGAACCAGCCAATGACTGCCTCTGTGTGGACCTCACCCCAGGAAGGAAAATAGCATTGTTTGAGTATACTCTGTATTCTGTTATTTTAGGATTAGGCAAAAGAATTGAGTAACATTTTAGTTCAAATTTAAAGCAAAACTTGTGCTATTTTTTTTTTTTCGGTACTAGGGTTTGAACTCAGGGACTTCACCTGAGCCACTCCCTCCACCAGTCTTATTTTGGTGATAGCCACGGACTATTTCCCCTGGCTGGCTTTGAACCACTATCCTCCTGATCCCTGCCTCCTGAGTAGCTAGGATTATAGGCATGAGCCACCTGCGCCCGGCTAACCTGTTGCTCTGAAGTGAAATGTATGACCCGCCATGACTTGTCAGGGAGGGAAAACTCTTTCTTTACCTTCTTAAATTAAATGACTGGGGGCTTGCAAATTTAACTGACACAAGTCAGATTAACAAGAGAAAAAAATTAGGATTTTTAAAAAATATCTTACATGTGTGGAAGTTTATAGAAAAGCAGTAAAACTTGTAGAAGAGGTTAGATTTGAAAGTTTATATGCTCTTCTTAATAAAGGAAAGAGGGTTTGGGCTTCAAGGAATGGTAAGTTACAGGGATATGACCAGGGGCTAGATGGGCAAAACTACTGACAGATAAAGAATTATCTTAGCTAATATTTGTCCATGCAGATGTATCTCAGGCCACCTATATCTCTGGTCATGAGTTGTTCCCTTCCCTTTACTGGAGAGGGCGACACTTTCGCAATGAGAAGTTGATATTCTGTTTTTAGACAGAAAAGTGAAGTTCAGGTGCTCTTCCTGTATCTGAATCTCAGTTGATTTCAGCTCAAAATAACCCTTTTGCCAAAATGACATATCTTGAGTATATATTAGTCAGCTGTCAGTTACCATAACAAGTATAAATACCTGAAATAACCAACTAATGAGGAGAAAAAGTATATGGTTCTGGTTTCAGAAGTTTCAGTACATGGTCCTTTGGCTGCATTGCTTTTGAGCCTGTGGAAAGACACCACATCGTGGTGGAGAAAGAGGAAGAGACTAGAGTCCCACAGTCACCTCTGAGAGCAGCATCCTCCCTGTACCCACCCTCCCAAAAACCCAAAGATCTCCCACTAGATCACACCTTAAAGGTCCTACCACCTTCCAGTAGCACCACTCTGGGGAACAAGTCTTTAACACATGGGGTCTTGGGGACATTTAAGGTTGACACTATAGAAGGGTGGCATACTCAGGATCCTTTATCGCTTTACATAAAGAATATTAATGCAGTATAGAAAATCCTAAAGTGACATTATCAAGTTTTCAAAATGAGATTTTATTTATTTGGAATCTACATTGTATGTCAATTTATTGTATATTATATTTGATTTTGGGAAAATTAACACAGTTGATTAATCCTTAATGTTACAGAGGAGGTTTATTCATTTGTATTACAAATATAAAGATATAATTTTCTCAAGTAAGTAAAATTTTGATAAACCACCTACTTCTATGCAGAAATGACTTTGAGTTGATAAAGGTTTAAGGAGAAACAAACTTTGGGGTTCTTTGGAAGCATATTGTTTAGATGGCACGTTAGGTGGTGTCGTTAGAAGTTGTGTAGGAAGAGCGTTGATTTCAGATTCAGCTTACTGGGCTAGGATGAATGTGAGAAAGTCAGGGTGGAAGTCTGAAGTGTGGTGAACTATCAACTTTTCTGCAAATAGGATGTTTCAAATAGACTGCTGTCTTGAAATTTAGAAGGTGTTATATGCATTTGATGTTATGTCTGATCTAATGGAATGCTGTTACTCCCAAAGCTTGGTGCACAGCGAGTGCTCAATAGATGTGGAATGAAAAAATTAATGAATGGTACGGACACACACACACACACACACACACGCACGCACGCACACACACAAATGAGCTGGAAGAGTTGGCGGTACAAAACCAAAAGAAGCCAGTTTGATTTCTTCATCTGCCAAGGTCCCTGGTAAAAATTTGCTTCTGATTCATTCAGACCTTCCCTAGAAGGAAAGTAATTAAGTATTTTTGTTCTAAGAAGTTCTATTATTACACTACAGATGCCACAAGGAACAACCACCTTTTGCTTTTTACCAAAAGCAGTGGTTAAACACAGAAGTTTCTTCCAATAAAATTGAAACCAAATCCATCACTTATCCAGAGTTGTATTGCATTTGCTTTGTGAATTGGGTGTGGGGGGAAGGCTAAATAATCTACCATTGAATCTTAAGAAATTCCTGGGAGAATTAGGAAAATTAAGACATGACAGATATCTAGAAATTGCTTGATTATGCTAACACAGAGGCAATGAGATCAGTCTTTAGATGGTAAGGTGACAGGTTGGTTTTTTGTTTGTTGGCTTTCTTTGCTTGCTTTTTGTCTGTACTGTGGTTGAACTCAGGGTCTCGAGCTTGCTAGGCAGGGGCTCTTGTCATTGACCCACACTCCAGCCCTTTTTTTGCTTTAGTTATTTTTTCAGATAAGGTCTCTCATTTCTTTCCCTGGGCCAGCCTTGGACTGTGATCCTCCTACCCCTACCTCCCTAACAGCTGGCATCACAAGTGCATGCTACCATGCCTGGCTTGGTTTTTGAAATGCAGTCTTGCTGATTTTTCTGCCACAGCTGGGCTAGAACTATGATCTTCCTATCTCTGCCTCTCATGTAACTAGGATTACAGACCTGGACCTGTAATTGCTATTTAAAAATAGCAATTGATTAGTCTGTTTCTTAAATAAATGCTGTTGTAACCTTGCAAAGTTGACTAACCTGATCTCTGACTACAGGATTTTCCTGAAGCCCCTATGTGTTGGTTCTAATTTCAACACTGTTTATATTAGCATTGACCAGTAATTTGGCCTCTGCCTCACTTTTCTCACCTGTAAAATGAGACTGATAACTGTGTACAGCATGTATGGTTGTTATGAGGATCAAATGGGGTGATGCATGCAGGGCACTTAAAGTGCCACCCACCTACATGACCTTGTTAATTGAGTAACAATCTTCATTTAAGGCAAAGGAGATTTGTATGTTTGATTCTTGGCTTTAAGCTACATGCACTTTTGTAACTAACTTTTTATTGGCATTACTGAAGTTTGAACTCAGGACTTCACACTTGCTAGGCAGGTGTTCTATTACTTGAGCCACTCCTCCAGCCATTTTTGCTCTGGTTATTTTGGAGAAAGGGTCCCACTTTTTGCCAAGGCTGGCCTGGATCATGATTCTTCTATTCTAAGCTTCCCACCATAGCTGGGATGACAGGCAAGAACTACTGTTTTCCTTTGAGATGAGTCTGGCAAACTTTTTTGACCTGGCTGACCTGCAACCTCCATCCTCCCAATCTCAGCCTCCCATAACTGGGGATGACAGACATGCACCAACTATGCCCAGCTGTTGGTTGAGATGAGGTCTGGAGAGCTTTCTGCCTGGGCTGGCCTCCAGCTGCAGTCCTCCTGATCTCAGCCTTCCAAGTAGCTAGGGTTATAAGTGTGACCCACCAGCGCCTATAGCTTCTCACTCCTTTCTGTTCATAATTATTGTATTCGTGTGGATGTGTAACTTTGGTGTTAAAAGCAGATGTTTGATTTGACCCTATGACTTCCATAAAATATAGGGAAATGATTTAATAGGCTTTATTTTAAAAAACTGATTTTAAAATGTTTTATCTTGACATTGATACCAGTAGTATAAAGTTCCCACATCTGATGCCTGAGTGACAATTCTAAAGCCAGTTTCCTGAGGAGGGTGAACTCCAGACCTTGGATGTAACCTGCTTTCTGCAGGGAAAGCCTTGGTCACACTGCCTTGTAGATTCTGTGGGGGGAAAGGAAAACCTTCCTCCTGCCATGAGTTGGTGGGGATTTTGGCACTCATATGTGAGATGATCATCTGGCTTTTAGCACCCTTAGGTGGGTCCTATAAAAATAAGATGAACGAAGAGAATATTCTTTTGGTGGAAACCTCAAATTATAGATGAATATTTACATATTTATTCATCTCTGGAAAAGTCTAGATTAATTGCAGTAAACTAAAGTCATATTGCATGGGTTTGGAGGAGACCATCCTTCTTCAAGATCATTGTTTTTCAAAACTGAGTGATTATTAAAATTCCTTGATCAAGCTCTTGAAATTTTGTTGGGCCTCACACTGGCATGTGCATACAGCTATTACATCAGGACTCTAACTCCACCGCACCATTTCCAGTCACAGCAGGGGCAAGCCCAGCATAGGTCCCCATCCTTCCTTCTACGAGTCATGATCCAATGTCACCCACCATCCTGCCTGCATGATCCCAGCAGCCCTGAGGCTTTGGGGGCATCCTTCCAATCAGCCCATGCAGACAGGATGTTTGTGACTAGGAAAGCCCCTTCCTAAGGAGCTGAGTACATTCTGAAAAGTTGTTTCCTTTGCTGTTTTTTTTTAACTGCATAAAATAAATCTAGAAAATCATCCGCAAATCCAAGAGAACTCACGGTGTCCTCTTCTTACTGAGCCCAAAGCTCAGTCATTCTCTTTCTTGACTGATGTCATTTGGCAACATGTGAGAAGCTGGAGGAGGGATCAAAGGAGAGAAGAAAACTCCCAAATACTTTCCCTGAGAATAAGTAGAGCAAGGGGTTTGCATCTCTGTTGCCCCTTGAGCGGCCCAATCTCTGTTTCTGTCTGTGCTCTGAGTCCTGTGCTCTCTGATGGCCTCACCACCTGGCAGGAACACACATGCCACCCCATATCAAAGCAGATTCTCTTTTTGTAAGATAGAGGGCTGAGAATTGATTTTTTTTCTGACATAGCTGAGGTGAATCCTGCCAACATCTGGGCTGCCCCATAAGGCAGATTATTTCTAGAGAAAGATGAGTCATCATATTCTTGACAGGTTTCACACCATTCCATACCCCACCCCTCTTACTAGGCCATTTGTTATCTCTTGTAGCTTAATATCTATGGGATGAGAGATTCACCCGTTCTGCTGGCATAACCCCTTTCTCTTACAATAGCCATATGTAACCTTGACTGTCTTGGTTGTCCCAAGTGGAGGGCTCCCAGAGAGCCAGCTGGCTCCAGTCACCTAGAACAGATTCACCAAGTTCCAACTAGTTGAGAGCAAAACTTCTCTAAAGAGTCACTTTGCTTCTGATATGCCTCTTCATTATCTACCAGGTATAATGGAAGTGAGTGCTGCCTACCTTTAACCACTTCTAACAGTAATCACCCCATCTTCCATTATCTGTTGAGTTCAGACCTCTCTGCCTGTAACATTGTGTTCATTTGCATCCTATTCCACTCCAAAATATTCCACAATGTTATAAAATGTCCAGTATATTTTTACCTTAAACAAAGGGAGAGGCATTGGAACCATCCTAGTTCATAGGGACATGCCTGCCAGAACTGAAATGAGACGCTTCCAGCACCATGAACTGGCTTGGTGATGAGTGACCACTTGGCACATTCTAGCAGATCTCTCCCTTCAGTCTTGAGATGAGAAGAGCCGTGGCCACCCGGTATGAGTCAGCACATTTGAGATGGCTCGAGCCTCTACAGAGTGGGCCTGTTAAGTGCTTTTAGACCTTCATAGAAGGTAAAGGACAGGGTCCTGACGATAGCAGATGAGCTGCCTCTCACCAAGGAAAAGTGGACAGGAATTCAGCCACAGGGAGGTAGTGAGACATGAGTAGAGAGTGGGATTGGGGGCCTCACACTCACCACTGAGAATGCTTGACTGAAGACGCTTAAAGGAACCTTCCTTTTAGGCACTTCATGTGACATCATGTTCCTGATTATTATCCAAAAAGGCAAAAAGAAATCAGATTGTTCATCTGCAAAGAGCAGAATGAGGTGGAGAGCTGGAAATGTGGTCACATGAGTGACATGTGACCTAAAATGAGGAGGCAAAGTAACACAGAGCAGGTGCAAGGTAGGAGGCAGAATCTGGGCTCAGGTTGGCTTCCAAATCCAGAGTGGTCCATGCACCCACTGCCCAGGGCTTTTTTTGGTCTTTCTTGAGAGTTCAGAAGAATCATCCAGCTGAATTAGAATCCAAAAGCCACGAAGGAAAAGATGGATTAAAATCAGCCTTTTTAAAAAAAAAAAGCCACTTTTGCACTGGGGGAAAAAAACCACGAAAACTATTTGTGACTCATTTTACAGATAAGTGGCTAATATACTAATATAGAAACTTCTAGAAATCATTAAAAAGGGGCAAAGGATATGAACAAACAGCTCATAAAAGACAACAGGAATTCAAATGTGCTAAAACATGAAAGCATACTCAACCTCACTTATAGTAAGAAAAAAGAAAGTGCAATGGTTAGGAACCCTCAAAATAGAAAAATCTAGCAGTTGACCAGACACTGGGAACTATGGGGAAACCAGCACCAGTGCTGGTGCCAATAGGAATGTAAAAAAAAAAATGGTACAATGCCAGTGGAAGAGCAGTTTGGCAGTTTCTGCCACAGTTCTTTCAGATACACTTACATTCAAGCCTATACCCTGTAAAAAAAAAAAAAACAGGCACCTTGATGCCCACCAATAAGGGAATCACTAAGTAAGTTATGGCACCTGTGCACAATGAAATACTATGCAGCCATAAAAAATGAAGAAGCTGCTTTTGTGCCTATTCAGGAAGATTTCAAGTACATCATTGAGTGCACTTTGCATACCACTACTTGTGCATAAAAGAGGAAATCAGTATTTATTTGTGTTTCTTGCATAAAGAAACTATGTAAGGTCAAATGAGAAACTAATAACCAGCAAGCAGGAAGTGAGAGAGGACTGGAATATTTCATTGTGAACCTTCTGTTACTCCTTAACTTTATTCGCATCACATGAATCAAGAAATTACAAACATAAATTAGATTTAAAAAAACTATGCCGTGAGCTCATTACACAGAACCACCTCTGCAGATCAGGACCTGGCTTTATGTGTGACATTTATTAGTGGTCTAACTTTATATGAAATTGAATAAAACTCCAAAAATAACAGTTAGATCATTTGAAAACATATATGCCTTAGGTACCCGTGAAGAGCTCTCCTCAATATACGTTTTGTTCCGAATGTGATCCTGCCAGCCCTCAGTGGGTCCTTCGATTAAGTCAGATATTGTGACTGCTTTAAGAAAGAAGGCTCCCCCTGCTCATTCCTGTGTCATTTCATCACCTCCCTCCTGATCCAGCCAGCTGCTCTATTAAATATGAACACCAAGTATGCTGGAAGTCCACTGGTGAAGAAATTAGATGAACTGTCTGGCCATAAATTATATCATGGTTCTTGGGAGAGTTTTGTAGTCTAGAGCCAGAGCTGTTTCACATGTCAGGCTTTATAAGCATCTGCCTGCTCAATGCTTTTCCATTTTGGTTTAAATATTCTACTTACTTCACACCGTGCCCCACAGAGCTCGTACTTGGAAATAGATTTAGTCTTTTAGGAAACAAAATTACTAACTTCT